TCATCCGATTCTCAGTACTCAGACTGTAACTCTGCATCAATTCAGAAAGAGGATTCATCAAAATTATGCCTTCATTTGGTGAAAGGTATTGATGTGCATTCAGGTGTTATAGAACTTTGTTCTCAGTCTTTGCTGACTAATAGTACTGAAAAAAAAAGTGGTCTTAAATCACCCAAGTGGGAAGTGGATGGAAAAAATAACTTGCATTACGATTTGTATTGTTACGAAGAAGGTGTGGATAGATCTCGTCCAAAGTATGCCGCTGTTTCTGAAGATAAAAGTTCCAAGAACAATTCAGTAAAGACTACTCAGGAGGGGAAAAGTTTCTACTCTTCTGCTGTCCTTAAACAAAAAGATATGTTTCCGCTAAAGAGGGATGATAAAGAATGTAGGAGTCTGATAGTCAACTCTGCAGAAACGCATTTAGCTGCTAAGGGTTTTGATAGAAAATCTGTTATATGTTCTGAAGCAGAAAAAAACTTTCATGTTACTAAAACTTCGCCTTGGGAGGACATGACTTTTAGCTTTAGCAAAGTGAAGAAAGCCGAGACTGTAAATCAAAAAAATAATCTTCTTCTGGAATCACTAGAATTACAGAAAATGGAGAATAAGAACAATCCTTTTGAGGGACCTGTTATTTCATCTGTATTTTCTCTTAGCTCTGGGACTGAAAATGTTCCAGAGGGCATCAGATGGGATGATACAACACGCAATAAGAAGTCAACAACGTTGCTGTGTAGAAAAATTGCTCAGCTTATGTCTGCTGCTGAATCTAACATGAAATCTATGCCATTGAGATGCCAAGCTTCTAGTAAAAAGATGCATTTCCCTCAGGAAAATTCAGCAAGCTGTGAGAGAGTTGCTTCTGCCACTGAATTGGAACAAGCTATGTCTTTCCCTCAAGTGCATGGTGGAAATAATGTAACTGGTAGTGATGAACACAGTAATGAGCAGCTACTTACATTTGCAAGAACATCTAAAAGCAGGATGACTAAAAATTCCAATGTTGCTTCTCCAGTGTTTATCCCCAAAGGGACAATGCTGAGAGTGCTCAATGCTACTAGCAGTCAGAACTCCAGAGGAATAGAAAAAATGAGTGAAGCTTCAGCTCCTTCTGCATATTGCAATGAGATGCTTCTGCCTCGTCCGGTTCCTGTCAGTGTTTCTGAGAAACTTAGCAGTAATTTGCCGTGTTTGCCTAATCAGAGTGATCCAAATACTCAGTCCCGAAATATATCGCTCAGGCAAAGACCAAAGCGAGAGATGAATGCTAAAACTAGTAGCAAGCAAACTGTTATATCATATCAGAAAAATGGCGATGTAAGCAAGCAAAGCAAACACTATTCAAAAAGTCAGCAAGGACACAAAAATAAGGTAAAACAAGCAGGTTTCAGGGAACTTCCAAAGAGAAAAACAAGAACACAGTCAGAAACCAGTTCAGGTTCTGACATGTCGTATCTATTGACAGCAAGACGTCTTCGGCTTGTCCCTCTGAGAATGAATCAGTTGATTAAATGCCCTCGTCGTAACCAGCCAGTTGTGGTGCTAAACCATCCTGATGTGGATACCCCAGAGATAATTAATGTAATGAAGACTATCAACAAATATAAAGGTCATGTCCTGAAAGTAGTTCTCTCAGAAAGGACAAGTAGTTGTCTTGGTGTCAAACGTTACCGAAAGCGTCTTACTCTTCAGAATGCTGAGACAGGAAGCCAAGCAAAAAAGCAGAGTATGCTAAAAATGAAACTGAAAAAGACCCATAAAAACAACTACCAGGTGGTGGAAGCCTCACCAGCTGAAGCACTTCAGTGTGTGTTTAAGTGCTGGTTTTGTGGAAGAGTATATGCGGACCAAGAAGAATGGATAAGTCATGGACAGAGGCACTTGATAGAGGCAACCAAGGGTTGGGATGTTCTTTCGCTTCCAGTAACAAAGCATTAATTGAGAGACTAGTTTTGTCTGTTTGTTTTTACTCTTAATTTCAATGAGTGCCATTAATTTCCTTGGAAAACAAGATAGGAAAAACTGCTTTACTTTGCAAGAGAATCTGTACTGTTACAAAGCAGAAAGGAGAGCAGAGCTGTTGAGTTATTGAGAAGCTTACGCTGAGAACTAAGCACTACTTTGCACTCCCATGTTTGAAACTTTTATTGGAGGTCAGCTTCATCTTTTCCGTAAGACAAATTTGAAAAGAATTTGCTATGCAAACATTTTTCTTGTTGCCATTATCTGTTCTAGGATTCTGTGCTGTACCTGGTTTCTGCTGGGTCTGTACAAATAAAATCCTAGACTATGATATCTAACATGGTTTAATTTGTTTTATTACAGCATAGTATTTCAGAGATTAGGCATACATGTAATGAACAGCACCTTCAAATCCTCTGTGGGCTGCAAGTGTATATCACAGGTTTTAGTGGCAATTCAGGCACAAAACATAGGAAGTAAAACTTAAATTCAAGCAGTCATTTTCAGTGGAAGAAAACCACTGACTTTAAAGGAATAAAAGGCTGTAAATGAGAAATCTGTGAGATGAGAGTTACTCCCACTAGGTAAAATAGCACTAAAATGCTTAATTTTTTCTAGTACTTAGTTTTTACCTAGCTTGTGTTGCATAGATGTGAGAAAAAAAGAGCACAACCATGCCAGCCTTTTGAACTACCTTTGCTGAGCAGTCAGGGTTGATTGGAAGACACATTAAACTTGGACTGAGAGGAGAGGAACTTTTCTGTGTGGTCTCAGACTTCAGAACTCTAATGCTGGATGTGTATTGTAAGTTTGAACCGGAACTACTGTTTTGAAACACTGGTAGTTCCTAGCTCTTCATTTTCATTGTTGGTGCATTTTTGTAAACAGTTTAACTAAGCTGGGAATATTTTTCTATATACTCTGGTGGATTATTCATTGTTTTGATAAAGTATGTATGGTATCTGTATTGAAATGTAAATATTTTAAGACTTCAAAGTACGACAAAGCTAAACAGTTAAAAGGTTGCTTTCCAATAATTTTGCAATACTGTTAAAATTGTTCAGAGACTTGGTGCTTTAAGTGAGACCTTCTTCATCAGACATTGGAAAATTTTATATCATTTGTATCATAGGCTAATGTATTCCACAGAACAAACTTCCTTTTCTCTGTTTTGTCAGTAATAATGAAAGGACAGTTCTCATTTTTGTATTCAAATGGAATTATATTTTTTTAGATGGGTACACTAGAGGGTTTTTTCACTTCATGTACTTTTATGCCAAACCTAACAGTACTATTTACATTTTTTATTCTGAAAATAGTTTCCATTTTAAAACTCTGGCATATCACATACAATAAATATTAGAACTGTTAACATAAGAAAAATATGGCTAAAATCCCTCCTTTGTTAAACTCTTTCAGTCCAGGTTACTGTCCGTATTAATTTTGTTTTTGTAGAAGCTACAAAATAAATGGCTTTGAATTTGCTTCTTAAGAGTTGTTGCTGGCAAAATAAGAACATTCTTTATGAAAGCTGTACTCTGTGTGTGTGTGTGGAAAAAATGTTGCTGCTCAGCGTTATAAACTAGGTGGGTTAAGTATACTAATAACGTGTGTCTTTAGTAAGCAAGTTTGCTGTTTTGGTGAGCATCTACGAAGCTTTGTGTGTCTCTGACATCGTCTGCTGTCTGAATTGTTAAGCTGTTTTTTATTGTGGGTTTAACTTAGAAAAAAATATTTTTCTTTTAATGTAAAATCCTTTCGTAAGTTAAATTGTATGGTGACTATAAAAGCCTAAAAGCAGATTATGTCATGCCTCATTTCCTTTTTGAGTTCTGCCAAACTCAGCAGAACTCCGATGGTTAGATAGTGTCATGTCAAAATAGTTTCCTCCAAGTCTGATAGTCCCAGTGGTTTGAGAGAAGTAAGTACAATGAATGTTCTTTTGTGTTATGATGCAGCATGGAGAAATGAAAAGGTTGCAAGGAAGTCAGCAACCAACTGCTCAGATTAGTTTGGTTCTAGTTTGTGCCACTGTACAGCACAGTGCATCATAAGTTGGGTTGGAATCTCATGGTCTGGGCTTTAATGTTTTAATTCTTCCAATTACTCAGTCAAAGTGAGAAAAGATGTTCATTGATGCTTACAGTCAGTACTTTCCTTTCACATTTGTGGTGAATCTTTCCAAAACTTATATTGTATGAATAGATATTGCATTTTTTGCTGGAAAAATACTTCACCATTTCGTCTGCTTTGATACATTCTGGAACATTTTTAGGTAAGTTGGAAACTTTTCTACTGTTTCTGCTGCTGGTTTTTATCTGTATCCTTGCACGTGGTAAGACTTTGGAGGGGCTATTTCTTTAATGGTCCTAATGTGTGTGTTTGAGCATTCAAATGTGGAATACAAATAGTTGCTGCTTGAGCTAAAGGTTATATGTTAAGCAATAGACCTTTCATCATTAAAGGTGTCCTTAGGATTTGGTCCAATACTTTGGATCATCAGCTGACACCCATTGATTTCAGTGGCTGCCAAGCAGGGATTTTTATTGTGCAGATACACACACATACAGGATTAAAGTGTTAAACAGCGAATACCCAAATAGCGTCTTACGTGTATTTTTAAAGGAAAGAATACACTTTTTTAATACAGAATATTTTATTGGGTTTTGCTACTGAATGAGCTTCAGTGACACTCAAGTAAGCAAGACTGAGTTTGATTTTCATCTTGTGTTAGGTACAAAGCAAGATAAGCAAATTGCTCAACCATTGTCAGAGTATCAGGAGTCAGTCTCTTAATGCTTGTATGTGAGTTAATACAATGACATATGCTTTACCTGTGTCCTCAGTTTTATTACATCTAGATAAAAACATATTGCAAGAATTCAAAATTGGAGCTATAATACAAGTTGGAGAGAAGATGTAGTAGAACATACAGAAGTCTTTGTAATATGGAGAGCTGATCACTCAGAGGTTAACCTGGCTTCTTACACATTTAAATAATTGTTCTATTTATATTTATTCAAAAGCTGGTGATGTTAAGGTAAGATGCGTCTTTTGCACAGCTTTAATGGATGTGTAAGGTAGCATTGTACTCTTTGGGCTCCTGTTTTATCCTTTCCATCAATGAGTGTGATGGGAACATATTTATAGAAGTCAATTATATCTTTCACAGAATTAAATTTCTGAGGGAAAAAGAAAAAAATGAAATTAGTGGTCGAAAAATGTAAGTGATACATATCTCTGTCTATAAAATCAAAACAATAGCTACTGACAGTGTTAGAAATAGGCAATATTTTGAATAAAATTATGATCAGACTATCATAAGACAAAAAGCACCTCATTTATTGTTTTTGTTGCACGTGATTGAAGAACAGCTGTTGGAGCAAAAAGGGAGCATGTCTAACCCTGGGAACACAGTATCACTTGTGAAAGTTTGTAATGGCAGGTGCAATGATAATTTTTTGATCTTTTCACTAAAATTTTACCTTGTCAAAAATAACATTTAGTTAGTAGTACAGGAAACATTGCTAGTTTTCTGTCCTTTGATTTATTTATTTATTTATTTTCCCACCAATGCTCAGTTTACCAAGTAAGTGAATATAAAATCCCTTTAAAGGACAGTTTTAGTTTTATTCACTGGTGTTGAAAACAGTGACATCCTTTAATCCTGTTCTTAAAATGATGGCTTTGTTCAAGGTCCTTAAACTGAGTCAAACTGGAACTGAAAGCTGCCCTCACCTGCCCTACTGGTGAAACTCCATCCTTGATTCTGCCATTCTGATGGTTCGCAATCCTTTACTTTTCTACTTTTCAGGCAGTGTTGTAGTCATCATCCTGTGTCTTTCAGTTTAAGTAGTACACCTCTCTATACCTTCTAAACTTTTGCAAGTGAAACAAATTCGACTTCTAATTTTAACTCTGGAGGTAAGTGATTTTTACTATCACCATTACAAAATTCATCTTGAATTCATGGGTTCATTGTTATTAAATTGCTACAACTGTACACAACAATGTAAGTAAACTATTAGTTTATTACTTTGAAAGAAATGCTTATTATATCACATTTGCTCTATTTACAGTCATATTGTATGCATGATGATATCTCTTGGAAATCACTGTCACTTCCACCTCATCCACACCCAGTTTAGAGCAAGAGGATTGGGTGTCATTTGGTGTAACTGCTCTTTAGTATTTTATGACAAAAGTTATTCTGCTTCAAAGAACATGAGCTAATTGTTATTTTTTTTTTTCATGTTTACTTGTATACTTTTTTTTCCATTTAGCATTTTTCCATTTTTTGTTGTGAAGAGATTTAAACATGAGCAAAGGTTTGAGTTGTTTAGCTCTGTCATGGGAACCGTGTACATCAAGACCAGTAGTGTTACAGCTATCTGTGGATCTTTAATAAAGAAAACAAACTGGCTGGAGGGGGGGGGGGATGGGAAGTAAGTGATGTTCAGAACAGCAATTTTGAATGTAAGTGCTTAAATTTCATATTAAATGTCCCGCTTGTGGATCTGATCTTTTCAGCCTTTTGTGATTTGATCTGGAGCAAGCTTAGTACAATGTAAGAAATCTGGCTACATTGCTAGTAAAAGATGCTAACAGAATTAAAATTGTTTTTTGTCGTCTTCGCTTGTATTCATTCCTGCTTGATGCTAACTTATCTGCAAGGAATTTCAGTAAATTGCTTCTGATCACCATTACATTGGCATAGAAGTAAAAGCATTCTAAAATAAAAATCTGATAATCAGAGAATTATTTTCTACCTTACAGGCCCCTTATAAAGGGCTATAAGAGCAGAGGGGCATTAAGAGTTAGTGATGCTCTTCTGGAAGTTGAATTCAGTGTGTTTTCAAAAAAAAAAAAAAAAAAAAAAAAAAAAATCACGATACAAAATGTAACCTGTATGTGAAAAATCCAGGGGGGAAAAACTTGAGTATTTATATTCAGTGTCTAAGAATACAAGCTTTCAGTGAATGGAAACAGACTAAACGTGCTGCAGAATATCAGTAAGACAGAACCTTCTTCACGACATAAAAATCACGTGAGCGCTGAGGCACTGGCACAGGCTGCCCCAGAAGCTGTATATGCCCCATCCATGGGGGTGTTCAAGGCCATGTTGGATGGGGTCCTGAGCAGCCTGATCTGGTGGTTGGCAACCTTGCCCACAGCACGAGGTTGGAACTGGATGTTCTTTAAGGTCCCTTCCAACCCAAGCCATTCTATGATTAACTGTATACTTCAAATCCTTGTTCTCAGATTGCAGTTTTCCAATTTTAGTTTCAGTCCAGATCCACTGTTCAAGATGCTCTCTTTTCTGTGCGTAAGATGAAACAAACAAGAGAGTCATTCGTTATGGTATTTCCTGAGATGGTGAGATTGTGCTCTGCTTCCTTTTAGTTTAGTAAAAATCCCTTCCCCCCAGTTGGTTTTTATATTCATGTAATTTTTTAGTTCCCTTAATTGTCAAGTCTGCTCAAATGACAAATGGATTGCATTTTTTTCTTTATTCCATAGTATACTATATTTCAGTTTCATTCAATTTTTTAAATCCCTTGTTTCTAATCTGAGGCTTTTTCATCTGGACAGTTACAGGAAGACTGAACAACATAAAAGTCATGGAAAGCTAAACTCTCAGTCTCTTAATTTATAATAAAACTCCAGGAAGTTATCTGTGAGGCTCAGTTCAGAACCGTAGACAGTATTTCACAGCAGACTGCACTGCAGTGTGCCGCAGTAATGGTACCAGCAGTACAATTTATTCTGACCTCCTGCCTCCCAAACTGTTCGTGTACAGTAAAGATTTTGGTTTATTATTCATTATTAAAGCAATCTTGCTGAAAAACAACTTGCTAGTTAACTTGCATCTCATATGCCTGAAAGCTCGTGATTTCTCCCGTGATTTCCATGAAGGGTTGAACTGTAAATCTTGGACCTGTTAAATGACTGAAATTAGTTTGGGTAGGTTTTGAATTCAGATCTTTGTTAGCTTTTGACTTGTCTGGACATGTCTGGTGAGGATGGAGTTAATTTCCTTCATAGCAGGTCGTGTGGTGCAGTGTTTTTAGATGGTAACGCACGGATGCTTTAGCTCCTGCTGACCAGTAGATAGCGTCAAGGCTTTGTGTTTCTCACTCCACCCCCCACGCAATGAATAGATCAGTGGGTGAGCAAGACGCTGAGAGAACGCAAGGGGCAGATGACCTGGGCTAACCGGCAGGGTATTCTGTGCTGTGTGATGTCATATTCAGCAATAAAAACGGGCGTGGATGGGGTGTAAGGAGCTGAGCCATCTTTTCCTCGGCTCATCCATGGGAGGTGCTGAGTGATTGCTTTTGCATCACTTCCTTTGTGTGTTTTTTTTTTTTTTCTTTCTCTTCCGCTTCTCCTTTGTTTCTTAAAATACTTTTGATCTTTGGCTTGTTTTGCCTTTACTCTTCCTTTCCTTTCCCCCATGCCATGTGGTGTTCGGCTGCAGGATGACTTTTAAAAGTACTAACATGTATAAAAAGGATGTAATTGAAGATTCAGCTATGTGGGCTTTACCATTTCACCTTATTGGGATATGTTTATTTACATATCTAACAACCTTTGTAGAGGTTTCTTGTTCTGCTTTTCTGTGTAGCTGAATTTAATGCTCAGCTGAGTAATTTTTTATTTTTTCTTTATCACATCTTTATAAGATGACTGTTTAGTTTTTTTCTTGTGTGAAAGACATGCAGATAGAGTTTTTGATACTTAAGCACGTAGACAAGATAAGAACTAGTTTCATCATATAATTGAATATAATTGAGTTTAGCTGTGAAAAAACACTACTAATGTAAAGGAATTGCTGACTGAAAGTTAACCATCTTTGAAAGACTGATTAGAGGGGAAAGTAACACTCCTACATTTTTTTCATGGCTTCTGAATATCCATGACTGCTTTTGTCCTCTTTCTTAATTTCTCTTTAATATTGATTTACAGTTTGTTATATGAGTGACAAATGATTAGAGAATCTGGCTATGCACTAATAACAGCAGCAGGCCAAGCTGTCAGATATACGGAGTTGTATATCTTCTAATATTTCTGCTTATCTTAAATATACCAGGCTACAAAATAAGCTACAGTGATAGGTAGAACAATACATACCTGGAAAGGGAGGACTTTTCCCCTTTACTTTGCAGGTGTTAGAGTAGGTAGAAAAATCATAAGTACTTAGGAAACGTTCATGTTGTTTTAAATCAGAGCATGTTATGTAAAATTTGATTTTAAATTATTAACTTGAGGTTTCTTGAAACACTGAGATGCAATTCAAATGCCGGTATTGTAAAACAAACTTTAATGAAGCATAGCAAGTATGTTATATGAGAAGTTTGTAACTGTCTTTGATGTTAAGAACTTGTATAGTGTGACACAGAAGCAGTAGACTAAAACAGAAGCAGGGATTTTACTTACATCGTCTCCTCTGAGCCCTGTCCCCAGTGCATACTGTTGACTGTCTTCCAGAAAACGTACTTTAATGTTGTATACTCTTCTTCCATAATAGACAACCAAAACATATGGTTCGGTGTTTGATTTCTTTGAACAATCTCTAATTAAGAAAGTCTCATCCTGTATAACACAAGTTATTGTAGCAGTTATACTGTACACTGCGGTAAAAAGTATATCATAACATTTACCCGTAACTGCTGTTTGGATTAAAATCTTGCAGAATTAGTTAATTGTAACAGTGCGACACTGTACAGTTGGAAGAAAAACTATTTTTTAAATGAAATTTAATGTAAAAAAAAAAAGTATTTTCTTTATATGTAATTCAGCTCTGTGTTAGTAATTTCCATAAGTCGTATATAATTAGCCAATAGTTTGACTGATATCAGTGAAGAATCATGTGCTGCCGTATTGTACATTGTTAAGCTGAAATCTGTCATACTCTAGTAAATGATCTTAAAGTGAAAATGGGATATTGAAAGTCAAGTTGCTAAAAAGAGAGGAGTTAATGAGTGACTAAGTAGGAAGAGAGTAAAGGCATTATAATTCATTGGTTTTCTATTTGCTTTCAAAGACAGCGTATGGATGAAACAGCTGTTTATGATACAAAGATATGGTCTTTTAATGCTTGATATGACCTTAGAGTTCTAAATTGTAGAGAGTCTTACTCTGATCTAATACATATTTACACTGTTGGGGTAATCTCAAAGCGTAATACAACTTTTACACAATTGTTACAACAATTTCAATTGTAGTGAGTTTCTTTTAGAAAGTGGAATAATAAAATGATACCCACAAAATGTAACAGTGAGAACTAATATTGCTAATAACAGAGAAATAATATTGAAAGGTAGTTTCGGCCATTTACAGGTGTGTTTGGAGCTGACACCCCTGCAGAATCTGTCAACAGGCAGTTCATAGTCATAAAGTTCAGTATGTAGGTAAACATTTGCATGACTGCAAATGTTGTAGCAATTTCACTCAGCACAGTGAGGCCCCTCATGTGCCTAAGGAGTTCATGAACCTAAATGTTATCTAGAAAATGTTTCAGATTCTGTGATCTGTCTAACTAGGTCATTCTTGTAGAAAGAAAAATGTTAACAGTGATGGAATGAAGACATCCCCATATTATTTCATGCAAGCAATTTTCTATCATGCCAACATGATATTTCTCATTTATGCAGTAGAAGTGCAGAGGAAAGGAAAATAAGACGTCAGCTTTTCAAAATTACTATTTCTTTAATTTATTGCACTGAGTGGGTACTCACATATATGGTTCCATATTTTTAACTGTGAGAGTGTTAGAGAATACCGTTAAAAAAAAATAAAAATCAACAAAGCTAAGAATTTCAGAGAATTCCAAGCATTACCCCAGTTTTAGGTTTTATGTGAATAATAACAAATTAATGTCACTTTAGTAGGAGCTGCAGGAGTTGCTGACCAGAACTGCCAACTGCACAAGCAGTACTGAACTTTTTTTTTTTTTAAGGATATGCAGTAAATGAAGAAACCAAGAGATAATATCAATCAAGGAATGCTGTTAATAATGTTAGTGTATCTGATTCTGTGCTTGCTGAAATCAGTAGTAAACCTCATGGAAATGTCTACATTTGTGACATGCATGTTCTGTAGAATTTCTTTCTGGTGGATCTGGTGTATCTGCCCTTCACCTTCTGCCTCTAGCAGCATTCTGCTCACCCTGCTCCCTCCAGGCTGTGCCTTTCAAAGCTGGAAATTAACAATGACTGCAAAACAGCAAGTTAAGTGGATGCTTTTATGACAAGAAGTTAATTAAAAAGTAAAATTGTGTCCTTAACCTCATCAGTAATGTCTGATGCGTTAATCAGTGGACGAGTTGGTAGTTGTATATATGTTGGTAACATTTTAAACTCTGTATTATACATCAAAGTTAGTATGGATTATATGGCTAATTTACAAAAAAAAAACAAACCTGAGCTGCTCTGGACAGTTTTAGGATGTTTTCTCTAAAAGTTTACACCATGAGTTTCAGGATAAATTGTACTCACAGTGTTCTCCTCCAGCAGCGCTGCCTCCGCTTCGTGGCGATCGTATTCTCCCACGTACCATTCATATTTGTTTAAGTCCTTAATTTTAAGACATAATAATCAGTGTATAGAAATGAACCACAGCTGCAGAAGCAAATGTCAGTAAAAACAGATTATATCTAATTTGCATTTAAAGCAACTTTATGGCAGTTTATTAAAATAATTATAATGCATCTGTATCATGAAATCATTTTGGAAAATGTTTCAAAATAAACATCTAAATTGTTATCAGCTTGTGCTGGATTGTTTTCGGGCGTGTTGAAAGCTCACGGATTTCAGGCTATTTAATTTCTTAGAGAAATGTTTTCAGTAGGCAGCATTTCTTAGATGTGTGCATGCTATAGACTGATAATCCTGTTTTCTAAAAATCCTTTCCATTAAGTAAAGTATTCTTTACCTTTTGGGTGGGTTGGGCAATATATTCCATTTCCTCTTTTACAAGTGAATGTTTTGGTTTATTTTCATATGCTGTGTAGCGTATGGGAGGTGGTGACCTCTTGACTGACACATTCTCTGCATTTACAGTGGACCCTGTGAAAATAAATGTAGAAAGAAAAGAATTGTATTGCTTTTAGTTTGGTCTTAATTTTACTCTATGAATTTTATACAATGGAATAGCGTTTGTGGTTTGGTAACCTTTGAAATTTAGAACTGTTTGTTATGATGGCCCTTAGGCCAGCATAGGCAGCAGCAATGATATCAGATTCATGCCTCAAGAAATACAATGTTTTCTGATGATCTTTAAGGTCTCTTCCAACCTGAGCAATCCTATCATTCTATGAGCATAGCGAAATATTAAATATAAATTATTAATAAAATATCAAGTATTACGTGGCATAATTAATGGGGGACGTATATGTTCATATGTAATTCTGCTCTGCTTTTACCCATCTGAGGATGTTCAGACAGATGAAAAATGTCTTCCCAAAGCAAGCGATCTGTAGTCTGTATGTTTAATGCTGCCTTCAGCAGAGTATCACCTGGGATCTGTGCGAGCGTGCAAGGCAAGGTGGGAGCATCAAGTGTGGGGTGATGTGGGAAAGCTTGGACTGACTGAGGCAGGTGAGGCTGCAGAGGAAACAACCTTAGAAAAGATTCCAGGTGTATGGTTAGGATGCATTTTGCAGATGCACATGAAGAAAATGGTTAATTGTAGTGTAAAAGCCTATCCTGCCTTACAACAGAAGGCCTTTCTGTTTCTTACATGCAGCGCTATTTGAAGAAATGACTTAATGATTGTTGTAAATGAGAAGAATGTAATAATTGATGGCTTCCATCTTTTCCTTCTGGTTTGTGTCATAAGAGATAGCACTGCTTGCCAAAATGATATTCTTATTTATTGTTCATGTTTTATCAGTATATTATTCTTCTACCTATACATAAAATATGATAGCATATGAAGGGAGTTCAGAAACTTTTTCATACAGAACAGTAATAATTGTAATTGTTTCATGTTTTCGTGTTGTACGTACCATGTTCTGGTTTACAGCACCATTACATTTGTCTCTAAGTCTGTAAACAATGTCCACTGATGTCAGTAAGAAAAAAGCAATGTTTTTTACGTATTGATTCACATTCAGAGGGCAATTGATCTGCTCAGAAATGAAATTATGAGCCAATTGTGTAAAGGGTTTGGAGCCAAGCATCTACATTTTCTTTCTGTGATCAGATTGAATTGTTAAAGTCCTTATATGCTGCTATTAGGTTTATTATACCTTGAAGCTGTCATTTGTATTCACATTTCATTTTTTGTGACTGTCCCCACATACTTTATTTTTAAAAGAGACTTCATGGTTAGTTCTACATTTGTGATATGTTCTGTAGAATTTCTTTCTGGTGTATCTTAAATTGTAGGGTGAGAAGTGGATGGAGATGCTCACCAAGAAATTAAAGAACGGTTACATTTTTTGCAGGTAATAATTTGTTTTTAGCAACAAAAACTAAAAATATCAGTGTGAAAGAAATATGTGCTTACATATGGTAAAAAAAAAAAATAAGGTTTTTGCATATATCTAATAAAATCAATACTGTATTTATGAAATATTTTTAAAATTTCAAATGTGGACTTTAAAGAAAATTGTAGGATAGCAGGGGGGTATGGGCACTTGTTTGTTCTGTCCCTGTTGCTTCACAAGGGCAGTGTTTGTACAGAGGGAAAAGGAGTTGTGCCTGACTGAATGACCAAGAGGAGCAGTGGAAGTTTCTGGACCTGAAATTGGTACAGGGCACTTAGGAAAAAGAATCAATATCAGTATGCAGAAGAGAGGATTGAGAGACTATTGAGAACAGCTGGAAACAGAGGTAAAGGGAGGTTTTTAGTAGATGTGCAGGGAGGGGAACAGATGGAGTTGTGCTGCCAGCGTGACTAACATGTCAGGAGGTAGAAGTGGCTCAGTGCAGGGCCACCACCATTGTAGAGCTGGAGCTTGTGACAGGAAGCTGAGGGAGGTGGGCATCTTTGACCTGGGACTAGCTGAGGTTGAGGTAAATCCTACTTCGAACAAATGATATGGCCTTTACATGCTTCCTGGTTGTAGTGGAAATGCTACGTCATGGCTTGAGCCAGTGATTGAGCACCTGGTAGGAAGGCAGGGCCAACCCAGGGGAGCTCAGGTGCATGCAATGAACCTGATGACTAGAAGGGGGTAGAGCCAGAATCCACCCCTTCCCAGACTTCATTTAAGGGTTGGCAGTAGGGGCAAAGTTGTTTGGGTGGAGGATCCCTGCCTGTCTGAGGCCTTCTAAAGGTAAGCAGATCCTTTTCTTTGCTTCTATGTCTATAGCTCTGCATTTTGGCTTATCCTCACTTACTGCAGCCTGGGACTTTGCTGCCCTGCTATTGTTGCTGTGCTTTCCATCACTTGATAGTGTTGCACTGGTGTTTATCTACTTACAGCATAAATTCAGATTATGCAACTCAGGCTGTCAGAATAGCTTGAAAGTTTCTGTTTTTGATAGGGCATTTGCAGAGGCAGTTGGGGGAGAGTATGAAAGTACAGTAAGTGCTGACAATGATAGCAGGAGGTTAACCTGCACAAATGTGTCTGATTGCCTCTGAGTCCCCAAAACCCCTGGGTCTCCCAGGGCACGAACTCTCAAAGAGTTGCTTTTAAAAACTCAAATACAGTATGGGTGAACCTGACTGGTGTACTTCAAATGACATTTGACAGTAGCAGTAGCAAAAAACCAAACCAAACAAAAAAACACCCAAAGCAAAACAAAAAGATAAGGATCATATTATTTATACGTACTCCTTCTACAGTATACATCTTCGTCATTCAATTTCATAATGAAAGGCCAATATTTGAGAGAATTTTCCTTCTAGCATCTTTTCACTTCATCATATATTTATGCAAAAAATAAATAAAAATTGCAGAACACAATCATAAGTTTTTTTCTTTTGCTTGCATAGTTCTTACCATAAAGTTGGGTTAATGAATGATTTTTGGTTTTGAGAAGTCTGTAAGCAGATGCTGTTTGTTTAAATCTTATTTACTTCCTTTATGAAAATGCTTTTTAAAGCAATGGAAAATATGTTGATAAGGAGAGATGAAACATAGAAATTTGGGGCCAAAAGGATTAAATAAAAAGAAGCTTTTTATTTATTTATTTATTTAGTAGGGATAGGTTAGCATGCAACAGGTCCAATGAGATGCAACAGCAAAAAGCTAACACCTCTTTTAAGGATGTTTGTGGAAGTATCATCTTCAAGAATAACAAGACAGAGTGGAGAAACCATTCCTGGGCACATCTAGCTTAGGGAATTGCAGACAGCACAGGGACAATGACGGGAGTGACATTGCCATGGTTACCGGACACGCCACCCCAGGGGCCGGGGCTGGGCACAACCATCACTGCTGGCTCCCAAGCCTGTTTGTTCCTTCACAGAATGCTATGCAGTTCAGTGAGTCATCTATTTCTAGCCATAATACGCTGACAGAACTGTCCCATAATGCTACCTGCAAGTCCCTCCCTCTAGGAATCTGCAGAATTCCCAAAGCAGTTTTCACAAAGAAAAGATCCGTGTGTTCACTTAAAGTCATCAAAACAATAGCAGCTGCCGAATAACATCCTCAACATCTGCAGCTTCCAGTCAGCTGACCACAGCTCTGAGGAGGAAGCCTGTGCTGCTTAGTGTCCTTTCTTCATATCTCTTTGCTTGCCCAGCTATTTGCATTCTGCTCCCATCCCCATCATTGTTCAGCAGCTTGTACCAATCTCCTTGTTTTTCTGAGGTCCCAGCTGAGGCATTTCTGAACTTGAGCCATGCACACAGTACGGCCAGTAAGTTCTACTGGTTCTTATTGATTATGCCATTGTTTTGTTTTGTCTTTTTAAACAAAAACAATCGCTCCCCTTGTGCTGGGACTTCTGGATTGATTAAAGGCCTGGAGCATCTTCCATATGAGGAAAGGCTGAGATAAATATCTAAAATGCAGGAGTCAAGGTAATAGAGGTGGATCCTAATGGGTAGCAAGCAGCAATAGAACAAGGGATAATGAGTGGAAACTGGAACATGAGAATTCCAATACTAATCCAAGGAATAACTTTACTGACAGAATGATGGAGCACTGGAATAGTCTCCTCCTCTGGAGACTGTGAGCCCTGCTGCAGGGAACTGCTTTAGCAGGAGGTTGGACTCAATGATCTGTGTAAGTCCCTTCCAGCTCCTATGATTCTGTGACTATGTGCATCAAAAATGCCCAATGCAGACGCACACACACACAGACCCGTAGAGCTGGTGCTTAATGTGTCACCATAACTGTGATTAGCATTTCTCCATTCCTGGTTTAGTTTTCAAAGTGATTTCTGGCTCTTACCTGAGCTGCAAATGTTTTTGGAGCTCTGCGTGTATTGAAAGCTAGGAGAAAGCAATGAAAGGAATGTCAGAAAAATATTTCTCTCAGTGGCAATTGCTTAAGAGTAAGATCACAGAGCAATGTACAGCTGTGCTGCCCCAAAATATTCTTTAATCCTTCAACACATTGATGTTTTATACACTTCTGGTTTCAGGTGGTGATTTTGTGTTTAACAGCTTTCGGCTGATTTCTCTTCCATTGATTTCTATTAATTTCTCCAGTCACTTTTTGAAGTTACATACCTTTTTTGACCCTGGCAAGTCTTTGCAAGATTTTCATGTTATGTTATGATGTTTTGTGGCAGTATTATTTAGAACTGGGAAGTACAGTGGTCAGATAACTTCTCATAACAGAGCCACTGGTACAGTACTAGGGGTCTTTTGTGCTGCCACGTTTACTACAGGTAATTATTTTATCTTGGAGAAGTACTGTTGTCATCAAGAAGGATAGATGAGAAGTTCTGTTCAATCATTCTGCTGCATTTGTCTACTTAAAGAGGGCATTAAATCATAGACACCTTGCCTATACTTTATCCTATACTTTTATATTTTATTAAGTGGTTTGGGAGGGGTGTGTGTCATGGATTTAGATTGAATAACATATTTACAAAAGATTTATGTAAGCTAAAAAAGTAGGAGAATTGTAGCAGATTTCTATAGAATAGTAATTGGCCTTAAGAAGGCCATGCATATATTCTTCATATATAAAAATAGAATGTAGTGGAAATGCTGAGGCTGGAGGTGGAAGAGTGACTTCATATGGTATGTTTAACACTCTTTCTTGAAAACTTAGGCAAAAATATAATACAGTAGTATGCTAATAAAGATAACAATTCAAGCATAGCCTGAAAGAACTTCCAGAGGATGGTTACTCTTGTGCTTCAGGTAAAAACATAGTGTGTCACTCCATGGCATCAAGAAGTGTTATAATCCTGCTTTTATTACGTAGTGAAGTAAAATTTTATAGCTGCAGAAAATGTAGGTCTTGAAGCTTCTAGTATAATGAAATTCTTACCTGGTTTTAGGAAGATACTTTGCTTTATACTGTTGATCTTGTACAATCAATTCAAGTTTCTTTTTTGTATCTGTGTCAATTAATAAAACGTGTAAGAATTTATTATTTCCTCTTATGTGTAACTTTAACAGAATTTAGCAACTACTATGAAAAATAATTAAGTTAACCAAGTTCATATATGAGGGGAAGCAGTTCAATGGAGAAATAGGCTACAGTTAGCTTAATTTAAATCAGTCAACTCATTATTTCCTTGAGAAACATTATTGTAGTACTGAATGTTACATGGTGATGCTGGACATCACAGGCTTTGCTGGCGCTGTATATAATTAACAGAATGGTAAAGAACAGAATGCTATACTAGAAATGTATGGAGAGTTTATAAATCCCTTTTGTAGAGTGGGACAGATAATGAATTATCAATGCAGTCAATACTGTTTGTACCTGAAAATCAGGAAACTGCACCTTAATTCACAAAATGAACTGGCTGACAGAAGAAATTATGAACTCATTGACAGGGAGGTGTAAACAGCATCATGATTAATTAGCCTGTGTCTGTCTTTGAGGTATTGTCAAGTAAAAAAAAAAAATATATTTTTTTCCTGGACCTTCATGCATACATACAAACTGAGTGACATAAGGTGTTCTTTTAAAAGCTTTGTGTGCATTTAAAGAATTTATGTATTTTTAAAACACTATTTTAAAACAAAACCAAACCACCACCCATGGTTTTATTTGTAGCTTCCAAAAATCTTTCTTTCAAAATTCTCAGCCTCACATCTCTCAGGAGAGAGTCAAGATGGAGAGAAAGGAGATGATGTATTGGCAGATTAGAATTGTGCCTGGTTTTTTAACCTTTCAGGATATCCCTCTCTCATATTTTTAAGGTTCCAATATTATTATTTTTTTCCCCTAGGGCCTTAAGAATTTGATTTGCCTGGAACGAGTATGTTGCTCGGCTTCCCTGGATAGGTGTAGCAAATGTTGAGTTAAATTCCTTTTTCTGCTCAACTCCCACAAGCGTACAGATCAGTCTAAATCTCTCTGTTCTCAGCAGATGTATATCAATGGGATGTCTAATACTAGTTTGAATATAGGGCCAGACTGTATGATCCTATATAGCAGGATGTATGTCAGTTTCCTTTACTGATTACCTCAGATGGAGTTTTAATGATAGAATACTTTGGTCTTGTAATACAAAAGAAAGAAAACAAAATAATATTGTATAATTAAATACTAACCTTTATCTCTTCCAGATGCCTATATAAAATGATAACACAGTAAATATTTTTCTTTTAATTGCCAACTTGAATTACCGCAACAAATCAAAATATCTTTTCAATTTAAAACATTTTATAGACATTCAACTATGAGCACCTGATCACTTTGTCAGAAATTCAGGCTGAATTCTCATCTCAGTCCACTGGCAACAATGAGAAATGAATGTTCAGGGGTATAAATGAACTTAGGGTTTATTGCAATGATCGCCATTTCATGATTGCTTTTGCACATCAGTTTAGCTAACAATATGGTTCCTCATCGATTTGGTATGAAATAAAGAGATTTTGATTGACTGGAGACACGTTATCCGAAGATTAAAATCAGTCATTTCTTTTCAGAGTCCTTAACTGATAGTGTAATTACTTTTGCTGTCGTGGCAGATACTTCATTCAAAATCGCTGTGTGGAGAGTCTAAATACAGCATACTATATTACAAAGAAATGAATGACAGATAGGTATCTAGAGACCAGAGTTTGGTGCATTTCCACTATATTTCTGTAGTATTTTGATTCACATGGGAATGGTAACTATTTTGGTTTCTAATTCGTTAGAAGAATATAATTCATAAATATTAAAGAGAAGGCTTTTTTGCTCTGTGTAGATGTTGCTTCTTTAGTCTTCCCAAAAACTTATCTTCCTGTTAATGTTTTTTGCATTTCTTAGAAATTAGTTTGACCATTCAGGTTGGAAGGGATCTGGGCAAGTATCTAGACCAAACTTCTATTCAAAGCACAAGATGGTTGGTGAAGTCAGAGCTTTGCTCACCTCAGTGTTACAGACATCCAGAACATAGTCTTCGTTGCTTCTCTGGGTCACCTATTCCAGCATCCTCATAGTTACCCTCTTAATTTTTTTGTTTTCCTTTTTTCTAGTTTTCCCCTCTCAATCACCCTGCCCTGCAGTTTGGTGTCTAAGAACTTGGCAAGGGTGCATCTCGTCTCCTCCTCTAGATCGTGCTGAAGCTATTTATATCTTAGGAGCAATATGAATGGGAGGTGAACCCATTCAAATCCAATTTTATTGTCTTTTCTGTGTTATGAGATGTACAGTATTTCTCCTTAAGATGTAGCCAAACTATGAGCTTATTAGGAGCTGAAGTATTTGCACAGCTGTATTGTGACCAGCCAGAAATATTAATTACAGATGTAAGATGTTTATTGTTCTTGGGAGTGTTTTTTATTTGGTTTCTGTAATGAATCAGTATCTGGGACATGGCAAAGCTTTTGTGTTAAAATATTATCTTTCTTGGTAATATTGTTTGGCTTTAAATGTGAATTACAATATTGCAATCAAAGCATGTTTTTAATAACCTCTCAAAGCATAGGAGTTTCAAACCATCGCAGGAGTGAGGTTCTGGGGCAGCCCTCTGGTTGGGACTGTGCAGAATTAAAATTCAAATCATTTTGAAGTTAGACTAGCTTGTAGGTTTGTGATACTGCATCTGTGTTAGGAAATGGCTATATTTAGCTGGTGTAGAGGTTCCTTTATTTCCTGTTCTCCCTTGCAGTGAGATAAAAAGAAAGTAATAGCAGTGTATTATGCCTTTAAGTGAGTTCATGGCTTTGCGTCTCAGTTTCTGCCCTCTGTCCATAGGCTACTTAGAGGTGTGGGCGGTGAGGGAGAGCTTTCTGTTGGCAGCCTCTGCTGGAAAGGAGAGCCCAGAGATTCTTCTTTAGCATTACTGGCCTTGAAAGCACTCAAGTGACTCTCCATTTTGCACAGCTTTCATAGACATCTGCAGCATTTGGCACTGATGAGATGCACTTTTATTTGGCTACTTGGGAAGGTTGCTTAACACTGTGTGTGCTTTTATTTCTGTAAGGAACTTCAGGATCTTAACTGTCGTTCATAGCACAGCAGTTTTGAAAGTACTATATACATAAAGATATATTTATGACCGAAAATAATTTGGTTATTATAGTGTTTTTACCTACCAGGCTAAGTCATGACTGAAATACTGTTACATCGAAGTTGTGCAGCCCTGAAAAGTGTATGGTTTTGGCAGCAATAATGTATACAAAGATGATTACTTACTTCATTCAGGTCTCTAAAAGATAGATGCCTGGAAAAGAAAGAATTATATGTAAAAATTTCATTATCATAAAATAAAAATGTCTGGGAACTTAAATACTTTAGTTACATCATTCCTGAAAATTAACAGCCCTTGGCATTTTATTACTGCTATAGAAATTCAGAGGCTGGTTATTTTTTGACATAAATTATTTGCAGGAAAAGGTTATAGACTTCCATAAAGAAGAACAGCATCCACAGTATTAATTATGGCAAATGAGAGAAGTCCCATTTAGGATTTATTCTAAGAGGAGAGGAGAAGCAATATGAACAGTTATAAGCTTTATTCTGTATCCTGCGTCTTATTCTAAAAGTATTATTACAAACTTTAAAGTCAAGTAGAAGCAGTGTTTTTTTTAAAGACTGAGGATTTTCAAAAATGAAACATTCACAGTGGCAGAAAGTGTAGATACAAGGAGATGAAAACCAGGAACTCAAGATGCAAGCTGGTAAAGAGAAGTGGAGAATGCTCCTTCTGGTCCCAAATCAAGTTGGTAGTTAGGCATTTTTATGCTGTATTCTGATATGCCTGGTCAACAAGGATACCTTTCCATCCTCAGAGGGGATCACCAGAAAATATTCTGCCCCTCAAAAGGGGCAGCATATCAAATCTGACCTATTTTATTGGATGTCCTAAGTTTGATGAACGCATATAGCGTGTATTTCATAATAAAAGAGATTGAGGTCTAGATTTTAGAGGGTTTTTAGGAACATAAGATATGGATAAGCACCTGGTAATTTTCCAAAGGCTCCAGGTTTCTGAAAGTTCAATGATTTACTAAATCATTCAAAGAGAATGCAAAAGGAAGAAAGTATATAAAAAGCCCTGGGAGTTATGTTTCAAGACTTCTTCAGTGAGGAGGGGTCTCTTCTTTTTACCTGTGCTGAAAACATAAGCATGGTGTGTTAAAAAACAAGAGATTTGGGGTCTGTTGGAGGGAAACTTCTGCAAGGGTAGGAGAAAGGAGAGGGCATGTTTCAGGTTTGGATAGATGCTTTTGTGTTAACGTGCGATTTGTTAGCTTGGTCTCTGAGGTCATTTTATGACAAGCAGAAGACTCTGCTTAGAATGTTGGGTGCCTAGTAAAGTTAAGCTGCAGTCCCTACATTTGTTTTCTCCCTACCAAGCTATGACTGGATTGGTGATGGGTGACAAGTATTTTGAGTGAAGTGCTTATGTGGGAAATATGTGAAGTGCCTTCCTAGATCATGCGTGGTCTTAGTCTGTGCTGCCCCTCTCCTACCTCTGAAACTGAAAAATCTGATACAGTTCACATATCTATGCTTTAGGAAAATTTTGGTATTTATAACTGCAATGCAGAATCTTGTGGTTATGATTTTTTTCTGCCTCCTTTCACTTCTAGAATAAGAAATTACTTGTATTTATATTAAAGAGTTTGGCTTTGTAATAGGACCTTTCAAGTCCAAGTGCTTTGCATACTGATGCTGGCAAGCGCAGCCTGTAGTAGTTCTCACAGGATTCGATTTATGTGCTGCCCTACCAAGGGGAGGGATCAGCCATGGGATTTGGAACTTCTCAATTATAGGTCAGGTCATACATCTGAATATGAAGCTACTTCATATTAATAAAATGTCTTAACAACCAACAGCTTTAACCTAATCCATGAAAGAATTTAAGTGCCATTCAGGAAAAATAAAGCATACTCAGAGCTAGCTCTTTAAGTATATACTTGAAGTAAATTTCTTCATGGATTTGTTAGCTATTTTTTTTTTTTTCTTTCTTTCCTCGTGGGATTTGTACTATAGGATTTTGACTCTGGTGACCTTTGTAAAAATGAAGCGAAATTCCACCTTGATGAACTGAAATTGAATGTATTTGCAGAAGGTTGGGTAGAACTGACATGGCTCAGTTGTGCCCAAAATTCTGGCTGCAGTAGGTTTTTAGAGAGGCACTGTGCATTATATCCAACTGCCCCTGGATGTGTATCAGTTCTGTTCTCAGCGTGTCCACCGCCTGCCTCATTTCTGTACATATATTTTGGTCACATGGAAGTGCACATGTATCTGTCTACAGGGCAGTGAGCAGCACACATTCATTTTCATGTAGCTCAATATATTATATGAAAATAGCAGTCAGTCTCGTAACTTGACATACACATGCTCTATCATACAGCTGAGCACAACTGCTGGACTCAGCCTCTATCCATGCTCTCCAAATGCTGTATCACCATGTGTGTTGTATGACGTAGGAGAAGCTGGGGGGATTCTGGCATAAAAGATTGTGGCGGCTGGAGCAAGATTTCTGGCTACAGATTTATCATCTCTTTTGCTGAATGTAATATCCTTGGGATATGAAGGTATTTCTGTATCTCTCTGGTACAGTCAGGGTGTTTCCCCATACTTGGCTTTCCATTACCAGCTGTGCTGAGCAAATGCAATTACTTTTACTTAGAAGTGATTGCCAAACCTCTAAATATGAGTGAAAAAAAAAATAGGACTTTAATCAAAGTGTTCATGAGAGTTCCACCTACTTTTCCACTCCTTTACCTCTTTACCGCTATTTTGGCAGTTTTTTCTTTAAGAAATGCTGGTATCATGTTATGCTAAATACCACTTCTCTTGATTATTCACAGCTGTCTAAAGAATCAACAGCTATTTTCTTAAGTATAGGCAGAAGTGTGATGGAGAAGTCTGGTGGTTTTGACAGGGAGAGTGTTTTGATTCTCAGGAAATTAGCATGAATAAATGTAGCAGTACCTTGTGGGCTTTGCTGATACTGGAGAAGTATGAGACTGGCTGGCTGTTTCCCTGGTGTGGAGGACATGGCTGCCTATCTTCGGTGCTGGAGGAAGTGGATGATACTGTTTTGGCAGTGTCTTCAGAGGCCTGAAAGAGCCAACGGAGAATTGGAAGAACTTTTAGGGAATGAAGGAGGTGCAAAGACTGCGTTGTAAGTGCAAGCGCAAAAGGGAAAACACTGGGATTTTCCAAGAGTATTTCAATGTATTTGTGCTGAGCTTCATTCAACAGCAATAATAATTTTAGATAATGTTCTACATTTGCAAGAATGTGCTGTACTGTGTTCTATGCCACTTAGCACTGCTTTCATGCTCTTCTCCAGTACGTGCCAGCTCTTCAGTGCTGATATCTCTGGGTGGGTAAGGCCCAGCTGGGAAATGCCCTCCAGCTTAAGTAATATAGAATCATAGAATGGTTTGGGTTGGAAGGAACCTTTAAGATCATCTAGTTTCAATCCCCCTGCTATAAGTGGAGACGCCTCCCTCTAGACCAGGTTGCTCACAATTCCATCCAGCCTGGCCTTTAACATGTCCAGGGTGGAAGTGTTGGCAACCTCTCTGGACAAACTGTTCCAGTGTCTTCCCACCCTCACAGTAAAGAATTTCTTCCTGGATATCTTGACTAAATCTACCTTCTTCCAGTTTAAGGTCATTTTCTTGCAGTGTTCAAGAGATGTCTGGATGATGTGCTGCATGATATGGTCTAGTGCTAGTGGTGGCAATGGTGATGAGGAGACGGTTGGACTAGATGATGTTATAGGTCGTTTCCAACCTTGTGATTCTATGATTTTCTTGTCCTGTCACAATATGCCCTTATAAAAAGTCCCTCCCCTGCTTTCCTGTAGGCCTCTTCAAGTACTGGAAGGCTGCTACAAGGTTCCCCTAAAGCCTTCTCTCCAGGCTGAAAAGTCCCAACTCTCTCAGCCTGTCCTGACAGGAGAGGTGCTCCAGCACCCTCTGATGAACTTTGTGGCCCTCCCCTGGACCTGCTCCAACACCTCAATGTCATTCTTCTGTTGGGGGCCCCAGACCTGGAATGTTCTATAGTTTTGATCATACTTTAAACCTGCTTACATATCCTACTGCGTTCAATACAGGCATTGAGGAATAAACTTAGCAGTTTTGGATTACCTTTCTAAATTGTTTTATTTGTAGCAACTATAATTGTTTGAGAGTGGGGGGGGGGGGGGGGAAAAAAAAAAAAAAAAAAAAAAATTTTGCTTTTTTTTTTAAAAAAAAAAAAAAAGCAGAAAGATTTAAAAGACAGTGGAGATTATATGGTATTGTGAGTAGAATCTAAGGAAATTAGATAAATAAAGAGTTTCCCTGTCCCCATCCCCCAACAATTTGTGGCTGCATTGGACCCTATTCCAGATTTCTGGACATCCTATGTTGGGAAGAGCATGAAAGCTATTTCTGAACTGATCTTACCGTGGGGGAGGCAAAGGTTTCTAGAAAAGAAAAAAACAAAAATACGTTTGAACTTTTCTCCCTTGTTTTACCAGCAGAAATATAAGTAGTTCAGATAAAGCAGGCATATCTGTGTCAACAGGCAAAGTTTTATGTACTCCACAACACATAACATAGGTTTAAATATGCCTCTTTAAAATCACTGAAGAGTAAAAGATGCCATTGTAAACCATGAATACAAATTAGTGAGGTAACATAGGCCTGCAGACTTCTCATCCTTCAGTTAGTGCTAGCAAAACTGGAGTGTGCTTTTTGCAAATACATTCCACAGCGTAACAGCCAATGCAAATTTAATTGGTCAGAGACTGCTTACCTGGAGTCCGTGTGTTTTCACTCTTTCTCCTAAGAAAATTATTAATAATTGTTAAATGAGCACTGTCTACATATAGCTTTATCCCAGAATTGTTATTACTGACAGCCTGCCCTCACCCACCAGCTCATTGCCACCACATTCATCCTGCAAACATATCCACATCTCCACCATTTTTCCTGCTTCCTAATGGTTGGCATTAATTAACATCAACCTATTTGTAGGGGCTGGAAGCTTCAGTGGTTCAGTGAGAGATTGTTTGTGGGAGTGAAGGCTGAGGCTGCTGGAGATGGGGATGAGCGCGCACTTTGTGTTGGCTAGAATGGGCTCTGAATTTTAATGTAAGCGCAGTGAGTTTTGTTCTGTATTTTATTTTGTCTTTTCTGAGGGTGGATTCACAGATAGATTGAAATGCAATTTAAGATTCCTTCTAACAGTTTGTACCTCTCTCCAATTAAATACTAGATTACGTATACTTAGATAATTGTGGCAATCCTGGAAATATTGAGAATCTTTTTGTACTGCATCCAGGTGAATCTTTCTAAATGACATAAGGGACATAACTATTACCTGAAGTTAAAGTAGGAAAAAACAATTATGTTTTATTACCTCAACTTAAAATATAAAATAATCTTCATGCTACTTGATAAAACTGCATGAAGTTTGGTTTTGTCCCTAGCTTTCAAAGTGGCATATTTGAAGCTGATATTTATTCAGATATTTTGTAAAGTTAAGTATTGTTCTGAGACTTTATTGTGTGCTGATTATTTGTGTTTTTTTTTTTTTTTGCTTGTTTTGATAAAAAATATCTGTTTTCTGTTGTTGCTCTTTCTGAGTTTACAATTATTTGACTGATTTTAAATGCATATGGGACATCCTGCTAGTTAAAATAAAATGCATAGATAAGATTTTTACTGTATTTGCAGTAGAGTTTGGTTTGTTAAATATTTTTAGAAGTTTTATGTACAGACATCCTAAGTAATATGAAAAATGGTGAAGTAGAGCCTGGATTCCCCCTCAGGTAAGCCATAGCAAATTGCTTGAACTAAAATAATGGCACCTTAAGTATTTAGCAATTGGAAAAATTAGCTATTGGAAAAAAAAGTTTTTGTGCTATTTATGCCATCTGGTGGCAACGCCGCTTAATAGCACTTTGTATGAGAATAAATGTTAGGATATTTAACAACAGGGTAGTTACTTAAAAATAATAAATTATCCACAGGCATTATTGGCTCAGGAAGTACTCAAATATATGTGGGCTCCATCCTCAAATTGCAGAATTCAAGTTAGCTGCCTGCACAGTCCTTACTTTATCTCTCTTGATATCAGCACATACCTTGTGCTGGCAGACAAACAATGAAGCCAACTTCAATTCAACGTGGAATTTGAGGCTTTATCAAAGCTGGCCAACTGTCAGATGTACCTATATCATTAATTTCTGCAGATTTTGAAGGTGGCCTGCTCTTATTTCAGCTTTTGTACAAACTATATCAGTATTTGCTCACAAGATTCAGTTTTTCATTTTGTGAACTTCATACTGCTTAATTTCTTATCTGTGGGAATTATTTGGTTCAATCCTTTGAGTATGGAACAAAGGGAAAAAAAACAAACAACCTTATATTGCATGGGATTCTTTGCATTACTTTTCTGGCTTGTCAGATGTCTGAAAATTTACAGTGAACATGGTGATCATATTTTCGTGGGTTGGTAATTGCATTCTTTCTGACCATGGTTTGGATATGGTTCAAAGATTTGAAATGATAAATGAAAAACCATAATTCTCTTTCAAGGTGAATTGAACATCTAATTCTTCAGTTGTTGACATTGTGATATATTGCTATATCTTAAGTATACCAAAAATGTAGAAAAATGTATACAAATAAAGTGTTTAGAAATATACTTTTAATAGAAACTTATTCTTGATTAAAATTGTAAAGAATTTAATAGTTGCAGACCTCATTAAATTCCTAAGACTCAGACAGCAGCCTGTATGCAATTCAATCACAAGAAACAAAACAGAACAAACAAAAAATGAAAGGCATATTTACAATTCAAAAATGCAGAAATTTGAAGCTAATTTAAAGTTAATGGCAAAGGAGCAGAGGAGCAAATTTACATCAGGTAATTCTATAGATTTAGTGTGTTCTGAACAGAAGAATGTTGTCAGGTAGCTTTTGTAAATATGTTGGTTGCTCTGAAAGTAATGCCTTCTGCTTATTTCCGTGGAAATGGCATCAGGTACAATGAGCTCAATTTGATAGAGCAAATTCTCTTCAAAATACTATTTTGCAACACACTATCATTAGCTATGCATTTTTGCTAGCAATGAACAGGAGTCTGCATGCCGTGTACCATCAGAGGTGACCTGCTTTTGCTGTTGCCACTGTTGAAACGCACTGCCCACCTCCTCGCTGTGCTCACGTTCACTGTTTGGTCTCCATAAATATTCAGCAAGCATTGAGGAATGTCAATGAGTGTCATTTTTGTCTGCATGGAGGAGTTCAGTGGCACACCTTTTCTTCATGTGCACTTCAGATGCCATTTTGTTAGACTGCCCCTCAGCTGCCATTGGTCACACGACAACAAAATGTAATGGAATATTGGTGGGAAGGCTCAGCCTCTACTGCAATCCCGACAACATTTGCCTCTGATGCTGTGGGCTATTATAATAAAACAGGAGGCATTATTTTTGGAGCAGCCCTTATACATTTCTATTGAGAACTTGAGGTTCTGGATTAAAGTATATCTACTTTTTTTAGACAATTACCTTAGTATTGGGTTGTTGAAATAGTGCTTGAAATTTAGCAGCAGGATTATTTGGGAAAGTGGCTGTTGTTCTGAAAACAGTTTTTTCTATCATCTGCAATGTCTACGTATGTATCAAAGCTAAATATGGAAGCACTGTTTTCTGATTGAACAACTAGACAGACTTTTTAATTATACCTTCAACATTTGACACGCTCCTCGCCTCTAGAGCAGACGTATGTTTCTGTAAATAAAATCAAATAAAGGTGTGATGTTAGGCATCATACTTGAAACTGTAGCTGGTAAAAACAGCGCTATTCTTGACTGAGATGCTGCAAATAGTAGATCCATTCTTGACCTCAGGCATCAACAAAAGAAGGTGAGCTGAGAGGATGTTGTTGCATAGCAAAACAGGATCCTATGTGACCTTGCAAAAATCAAATTGTTCATGGCTTAGACTTCAACTGGAGTGCATGTAGCTTTATGTGATGTTACAGAATAGAGGAAATGCGTTTGCAGACAGAGCTTATGGTCCTTACTTACAGGCAAGTACTGAGGGGGCTGAGGTGGGTGACTGCTTGTGTGGGTAGTACCTGAAGGCTTCAGACAATGTTTATCTGTAAGAGGAAGAAAAAGCAATCTTGAGTAATTCTTTCTTTTGAAAGATGCTGTCTTTCAAGATGAAGAAATTTTAATGTTTAGAACATGGTTTTGATGTCAGGCATTGCCGTTTTTATAGCATTTTCATTTTGCCTTTCCTTCCATATTACTTTAGTAGAGGTATTGATCACCTACTTCACAGTGGTAATAAATAAATAAACCTTTGTTAGCTGGTACACAGTTAAAGCACAGTTAAGCTGTGGGCAGATCTGTGAATTTGCTCATTATCTTGAATGAATTGCTGGGGCTTAGTGAAATGTGGAGGGGTTTGCCCTTCATAGAACTGTTAATTTTACTTTAGCTTCTAATAAATACTGCACTCGTGGCCCACTAGAAGAAATACATGAAGGGTGAACTGGCATGTGTTCTCAAGTCATTAACTGTATCTCAAGGGCATTTTTATTTTTCTAGGTAAGATGGCAAAATGGGATGGTATATGAATTTTTGCCTTTTTCAAGTACATTTCAAAACCTTTCTTCACACCTGTATCATATCATACTTACTGGGCGTAACATGAAGGTAAAAAAGCAGCATTTTGTTTAATTTTTTTTTTTTTTTTTTTCCTCAGGACAGACTTGCAAAAACAATAAAGATGCTGTTTGTGGACTGAAAGTATTTTCTACTAACCAAGATAAAAAGAGTATAAGTTACTTTGGATTTCCAAGTAAAATACCTAAAAGAGTCTTTGTACGTTACATAGAGTATCTGGTTCTTTAGGATGTCTGTGATCAAGTAAAATGTCATACTTGCTTGGCAGGAGAGACACTGTGACGTGAGGCTCATCCCCTGAGCTCTAGGTGTATTTACTCCTGTGATTTCCCCAAATGCAGGAGATTTGACTGCATATGTGGTACTGGGGATCTGTGCTTTGTCTGTTTGTTTGTTTAATTTTACCAGGGAGACCTTACAGCTCCCTGCAATTCCCTGAAAGGAGGTTGTAGTGAGGTGAGAGATGGCCTCTTCTCCAAGATAACTGCAACTGGATGAGAGGTAATGGCCTCAAGTTGCACCTGGGGAGATTTAAGTTGGATATTGGAGAAGAAAACCTTTCAGAAAAGCTGGTGAGGCAGTGAAACGAGCTGCCAGGGAGGTGGTGGAGTCACCGTCCCTGGGGGTGCTCAAGAAATGTGGAGATATGGCACTGAGTGGTGTGGTTAGTAGGACATGGTGGAGATGGGTTTGTAGTTGGACTAGATGATCTTAGATGTCTTTCAACCTTAATGTTTCTGTGGCTTTACGATCAAATACACTCCTACAAAAAATAATGGAAAATCTTAATGGTATTTGATGTGAACTGGAGAGAACTTCCATATGTGTATATTGATCCTGTATGTTCAGATATTTTTGGCTTCTGCTTTCCATTCTTCCTCATCTAAAATTTTTCTCAATTTTAGAGTTATTTTAGATCTTTGTAATGTGTTAATTCTAGATCTTTGTAATATGTTAATTCTAGACATAGGTATCTGGGATGATATTTAGCTTCTGTAGGCTGGATATTATTTGGTTATGTATATTTGGGCATTAAATTTGATTTCAGATTGCTTTAGTAACCCAAAACGTGACTAATGCAACTATCTTGTAAGGTTAAGAATGCTTGAGAAATACATTCTAAGTACTTTCTTATTATTGATGTTACAAGTGTCAGAAAATGCCTTTGACAAGCCTGCTACATTTGTTCATCTGCAAATTATAATCTGAAGGAAACTTTTAAATGTTTCTAGTGTGTTTTCCATCTCAAAGTTTTCTAGGCTTAAGAAACAGTGTGCTTTCCTGTAGTGGTTGTGGGTTTGACCAGTCAGATTTTGAAGATTTAACATGAAATGAGATCATAGAATGAGATCATGAAGGCAATACCATAATGAAAAGAAATCAGCGATTATTAATTTAACATAATTTAATGGGAAAGAAGGGTAAGTTTTGAATATGCAGTTGAAGATAAAGCTCTTCTCTTGTCCCTTCCCATTAGTCTTTTATTTTTCAATTGAACTATATTATTAAAAAAAAATATAGAAAAAGCAGGAGAAAATCTGAATGAAAACACAAAAAATGTGTACTGTTCCTATTTATGTCTATGTGTGGCTCACTTCCGGCAGACAGAAAAAGTTACCTGCATATACGGAATCCTGTTGAGGTTTGGGAGGAAGGGTTCTCAAATCTTGGACAGCCTCCAGAGTGGAAGAACTTGCAACTGTTTCATAAACATCTTCATCCGCATCAGATAGTTTGGAGGATAATTTTAACTCATCCTGTCCCCTCTTTGTGAAATGTTTGTCCTACATAGAAGGGCGGGATATATACAGATAATGCAAACAAGTTTAAGTTCAAGATTAACTTAATATTTGGAAATACTTGAGGTCTGGAACCAGATATTTTGGTACACAGGACATTTTCTGGTGGAAATGGATAGGTTGGAAAATAACTGAGGAAGTGTTTTGAGGATCTGAACTTTGAATTTGATTAATGAAATAGCCATTTTGTTATCTACAAAAATATATTAACTAGTTCATCGCATATTTCATGGTTTAAAATAAAAACATGAACTGTTTCTGAGAATTCATACTAGAAAATTAACAGTCCAAGAGACTCAAGATGTCTCTAGATGTGCCTATCCTCTTGTTCCAGGTTGGCTAAAAATTTCTTTCTGGCGTTCTGCTCTGCCCTTCGTGCTCACCATTTACATGCTGGGGCAATGCTGCTGGTTTCTTTAAGGGGAAATGCACAGGCAGCACAAAGTTGAGATTACTGTTGCATCATCTCAACTGAAGGTACCCAAAGTTCAGTAAAGAATGTTTTACTACCAGAGACAGTGTAGGTGTATCCACCCACTGTGTGCTTGCAGCTTCCCTGTTCTTTGTTTTAATCTGTTCTTAAATATCATGCTAATGGGGAATCAATATCTTCCCAAGGCGTTGTCTTCCACTAGCTACCTGTCCTTTCGGTTAATGCTTCTTCTCGAGTGCTACAAATTATACCAGTTTGTGTCACCCTCTAAAGGCACACACAAATAATTGATTATTAACCACTTTATTTCAACTTTTATTATACTCCATGTTTATAATTATATTTTCTTTTAGTCTCTTCACTCCTAGACTAAGCAAGAACAATTCCTTAAAGCCTTTTCTGAGCTCTCAGCCAACTCGAAGGATTTTGATCCTTCTATCTCCAGTATTACTTTTCCGTCAACTCTTCAAGGCTATGCACAGCTTCATGAAAACATCAGAGAGATGTCCAAGAATATACTGTTTTTGATGATACATTTCAGGGTAACGTTTGTCTTTCTATAACTGCAGATGTTAATTAAAAAAAAAATACCACTATACTCTGCACACACCCTGCATGACACATGGGTTTTGCAGGGTATTCTGCTGGGTAACTACTTCCAGTTCAGTAGCAGAACTCTGGGAAGTACAGTGAGGGTTGATATCTTTTTCAAACAATTGAAAATACTACAAATATTTAAAGATTTTTACAGTTTGCTTGTGAAATTCTCTTCTGAGAAAGACCTAACAAAATTTGAGATACATCACATCTACTGCTTTCATTTTTCCCAGCGTTGTATTTCTTCTAAAAAGAAAATTATTTATGTTCGATGAATCATTGTCCCTGTTCACATTAGCAGTATTTTTTAAATAATTAGATATATTTTTTCGTAAAACACTTCCAAACTCTGATAGCCTCTCCAGGTATCCAGTACACCCTCAGGATCTGCTATAAAAATAATAGTAATAATAAAAATTGAAGTTGCCCCTGTTTCTCCCTGTTGCTTTAGGAACATTTTAGAATGATCCCAAAGATAATCAATTAATGTCTCAGAAATTACTTCAAATTCTTCTTTAGATGCTTTAGTATAAGTAAATGCTGTCCTAGCAGTTCTTTTCCTGTACTGTTCTGTGCCATTACTGCCTTCTTGTTGGTATTAATTCCATGTAGTATCTGACTGTAATTAATTAACCTTTCTGAAGCAGCCAAAATATTGATTATATCAGCGTTCTTCACTCATCCTTTATTTGTTCAGCTTGCTCTTGAAGCAACAGATCTGTGCTCTCTTTTCCTCTTTCTCTAACTTGTAAGGTATTTGCAGTCTTTTCTTATACGTCTGACATCTGAAACTCGAGCTTTTGCGCAGAAGTGGAAGGATGTTTAAAATATGTACTGTTATCTTTTCCGCTTTTATTTGCATTAGTTACTTATTAAACCTCGAGGCTTATGATTTTTGTGCTTGTTCATCTTGACGCCTGCTACTTTTGCATGATCTTACAATAAAGGAGTATTTCAGATACATACTGTAAACAGAGAATTAGGTCAATTCAATTAGCTCCCACTAATACAAAGTAAAAGTTGTTCTACGTACTTAAAAAAAAAAATTCCCTTTATTATCATTGAGGACTACATTTTCTGCTACCAGTGTTGTAGCTAGAACACACATTTAGGAGTGAAAGAGAGAAAAATTTAGGAGGAATGGATACTTACAGTACAATATGTATTAGCAGGAACTTTCCTCCTTTCATTTTCTATATGAAATAGAGAAAAAATGTCAGCAGATATCACTCTGTAGAAAAGGATACAATAACTAGTAGCTTACATGAAGGAATAAAACTCTGTCATCAGCGCAGTATTTTAAAGATAAGTGGTTTAAACAAATGACAATCCACCCATGAGTTTGTTGACCTGTGCAGAGCATGAATAGGTAACTGTAGCTATTCACAACCATTAGCTTGTCTGAGCCCACTCACAGAAACCACTCAGGGGGCTCATGCTTGAGTCCTCCTTGTTTTTTGAGTTTTGCTGCCTGGTGCAGAACTGCGTGGTTTGCTGCTGTTAAGCTCAGGGATCATGGTCTGGAAATCCCTGTTCTGCATAGAAAAATATCTTGTCCTCTTAATGGTACAAGAAAGTCTGACCTCCTGCTTTCAAGATGGAACTAGAAAAAGAGTTGTGCTGATGTCTTTGGTGTAATAGCACATTATCTGCAGCTCTTGCCCAGGAGATCGGAGTCCTGGTTTCAGTTTGGGAAGCTTCAAATCCACAATTCCCAAAATCAAGAGCAACAGTATCAGGCTGCAAACTGTTGCAACTGGTAGCTGTTTGCCAATGGATGTTATGATATCAAGAAAAGCACACTGCAGATCCGAGGGGACGATGAATAAGAAAGTGCATTTGTTTGAGTTCTTAGTTTAGCCCTTAACTTGATTTACACTTTTAATCTGGGGACTGGTGAATGCAAAACAGCCACGGTATGTATGTACCCAGCAAGTGCCCTTGTGTGGACTGTTGAACAAACCCTTGCACAGCCTGTCTTTAGCCTCACAGATCTTGTATCTGTGGCTGCATAATAGCCTGGTTTCAGAAGCTGCGCATTAAAGTTCTTCTGTCAATAGTAACTTATAACATGCTCCTTTTCTAGTTCAGTGCTGAAAGTAGGTTGTCAGATTATCTTGTGCTGCCCTAGTAACCTGTCTTCCAACGATGTTCTCAAGGAAACCAGTCTACATACACAGCCTCTTTAAAATTATTGAAGTGTTTTATTTTTTTTAAGGTTTCAATAATGTATGAGCCTGTTATTGCAGAGTGTTGTATGCCCCAGCAGATGGCATTCAATGTTCATTTATACAACACAGACAGTGTTTTAATCTCTTACACAGAGGGTCATGAATGAGAGGCAGAGTTATTTATGTGAATTAGTTGTCTGATTTTCTGTTTAGTTATGCTGATATGGATCAGAAATAAGCCCAATTAAATCAATGGCACTGAGGAAAAGTGATGTAGATAAGAGGATAGATAAGAGGACAGGGCCAATATAACAATGAAAAGACAGTCACAGTCTTTAAATAGTTGTCCTTTTACTTCTGTTAATAAAAAATGTGATTCTATCTTCCACAGTGAACAACAGAATTGAAAAATAGTGGTAAACATTAAAGCTATTAAGCCACATGTTTCATGACTTAACTCTAAGAGGGGGCAGATGTGAGACTTTAGGATGATTTATTGATATTTAATGTCAGTTTACAAACTGATGTCCAGGTTAGTCTATAATCTATTCTGTTACCCAGCAGTCACCACAGCTTGGAGGAACTGCTGCCCTCCCTCTCCTTTTCTTTTGAGAATATGTGCTTTGCACAATGTCAGTGAAGGAAGAAGTAGAGTTGCTGGTATCCTGTGGATATTCCTTTTACATGAGATGAATTTCCAGATATTTGCTTTGAGTTAGCTACAGAGTGCACACCAGATTGAATTTGCTCCTCCAGTAATTTAAGAATGTCATTTTGATAGTAAGAATGAATGTTTCATTTTGTCACCTATGCTAGAAATATTGGGCCATAGACATGCTAGAGATACTGCAATGCAAAATGCTGGCTAGGTAGTGAAACGCTATGAAAGAGACTCACTGCTTAGGAAGAGATGATTTCCGTTATTTACTATATATGCATTCTAAGTGGATGGGGCCTTGGGCAATCTGATCTAGTATTTGATCTAGTCGCTGGTAACCCTGCCTGTGGCAGGGGAGTTGGAACTTTATGATCCTTGAGGTCTGTTCCAATCCATGCCATTCTATGATTTTATCATTCTAGAACTTCAAATCCCCTGACTTCCTGTTGTATAGGTATGAAAGAGGACAGAATCACTGAATCATGGAATGGTTTGTGTTGCAAGGGACCTTAAAGATTACCTAGTCAGATGCTACCTACTAGAGACTTTTCCAAATAGACCTTCTTGCCCAAAGCCCCATCCATGCTGGCTTTGAATACCTCCAGGCATAGGGGATTGTTAGCTTCACTGGACAATTGGTTCCCTCATCATGAAGAATTTCTTCCTCTTTTCCAATCTAAATCTACATGCTTTCATTTCAAAGCTCCTGCCCCTTATTCTGTTATTACAGGTCCTTATAAGAAGTCTCTCTTCATTGTTCTTTAGGCTCCTTTAGTTATTAAAAAACCACTGGAAGGTCTCCCTGCAGCTTTTTTTTCTCTATCCTGAACAATTACAACTCTTTTAGCAGTTTTTCATATTTTTACCAGATAGTTTGCAATCAAGGGGATGTTCTCCATCAGTATTTTTTCAGCGAAATATGGCAACTTACAGCTGGTGGGACTTTTCTCAAGCTATAGAAACTTAACACCTCCAGCTCAGTATTAAAATTTCTTATGCTACAGCCTCAGTAAAACTAATAGATGGAGTGTGTCAGTTGCAACAATAGTAAGGAGTTATATTTCTGTGGCATATGTGTGGGTGTGCTTCTGCCAGCTGACAGAATGTCTGATGCAAAAGGACAAAAGAGAAGAAATGATTTTTTAATTAATTTGCAATGAAATAGAATTGCGTGTATTTTGTGGCAAGCTTACTTTTTATTGGTGACCTAAAAAAGGCTGTTCAAAAGGGTGACAGGTTAACAATTTCTGCTTGAAAACCCAATATCAGACTTGCATCCCTTATTTAAATGAAAAAGCAGAAGGTAAATTGTTTCTGTAGACTTTGATGAGTCTATGAGTGCGCTGTGGGTTTTTTTCAGTCATTTTTGTGGTGTTTCAGCAAGTGACAGAAAGTGATAAAATGTTGTGGGCTATATTTCAATGAATCTCATGATCCTTGCAGTGTCTCTTAGCCCTTCAGTAGAAAAAAAAAAAAAAATGTAGCTGAAAAATGGTAAGGAAGAATCGGCATAGGAGTTTTCAGTGTCAATATTTCTGGTCTGAAGTACAGTGTAAAAATGTCAGTATTTTCCTCTGACCTCTAGAGATGTTAGGTAAGACAAGCAAAACCTTCATAAATCATATGACTATGATTCCAGAACCAAGGAAGAGACTAGGCAGTCTTCTCTTCAGAGACTGTGAAAAGCATGTGTAAAAAAATGTCACTTTTGTGAGCTTTTGTGGTATGGCTAGTTATCTATCTATACAGAATAAAAGATATACTGCTAGATTGTTGAGTTATATTTTTCCAGAACTGCTATTTTTATTTTTTTTTTCAGCCTTAAATCTAAATCTTGTGTATTATATTGCATCCATTTGAGAAAACTTCACATAACACAATAAACATAGCGTACCAAATAAATTTATCTGGATGGTTGTGCCCCCATTTAGTTAGATAATTTACGTACTTTGCATTAGACATCTCTAAGCTCAGCCAAAGTTGTGAAACACTGCCATTTTTCAAGTGCTCAAATAGGATCTGTGCTTAAGAAGTAAATGGGATTCAAATACATGCTTAGTGCTGACCATAACTGCCATGGAATGAGATTCAGAGCTCCTATGTCATTGTCCCATTGCTTTGGAACAGCAAAAAAACAGATTGTTTTAAAAGCGATGCATCCTTTTAAATTCCCTCAATTGCATTCTAAAAGTTATCAGCCAGTGTGAGGATTTCGGTTTCCAGCAGGATGACCACTCGTATTCAACTTGTTTCAATGTATAACATCACGAAACCAATATTTTTTGGAGCAGCCTGGAACTAAATGTCTTCTTACTTTCTTCATTAGCAGATATCCAAGAACTTAGCTTTCTTTTCCTTCTTTTCTTGCAACTTATTTTTGCTTTTTTGGGGGGGGGATGGGGGGAGGGGGAAGAGAAGGGGGGGAGTTGTTTGTTTGTTTTGTTTTGTTTTTTTGTTTTATGATGTTAAAATATTTTGGCCCTTCTTAATTAGGAGCTATTATTGACTGAGTAATTATTATGTCAAAAAGATATGTTGTAGTACTTCTTTTTTCAATACTAAAAGAATTTTACCTTTTGGATGTATTTCCAGATGCATTTCTGCAAACAAACTTGGGCAAGAACTAAGGACATAAAAAAAGATCCACTTAAATATTAGAAATTACCATTGATCTATGAAAATTTTCAGACAGTGTAACTTAGCTGAACAAGTGCAAGCTGCAAGTGCAATAATTTAAACTTGAAAAACAATTTGTTAGATACAGAAATTCAGCATTTTTGGCAATCTCTTACAGCCTCAAATTTGGATAGGTAGAACTCTACTGATACTACAAATATCAATTTTAGACATGGATATTGCAACAATCTTATTAATGCTTTTACATCTTCAGAACATAATTTGAGGGATGATTTTGCTTAGGGAAATAGGATCTAAATGTCTTTTAGCATGTGGCTGTGCCACTGCACATGGCTCCTTTCCCCTTTTGCCAGCTTCCATGGGTATCACAATTTCCCCCAACCCTGTCATGATATTATTCCATCTTGCTTTAGGATGGAACTCAGCTAGTAGGAATATGTGGGATACGCTGAGTTCAGAAGAAACACATTGACAGGTCTTGATTTAACCCTGTTGTCAAGGATGATAGTTCTCTCACTATCACCCTCTTTTGTTACTGGTCCTTGGCCCCATGTCAGCCTGACCAGCAGCATAAACAGATAATTGCAGTACTATAACTCAATATTCAGAAACAACAACTATTTCTCAGTGAATATGCAGCCAGGGTTTGCATTAGGATTGTATTAACACACTCTTGTTTTACCTAATTTCTGAAGGCCCTTGGAATTACCCAAAGTTTGTGAAACAACTAAGCTTCAAGTGTCCCACTATTCTAATTACAACAAAATTTCTGTTAGCAGCAGCTTTCGAACACAATGAAGCTGAGTGGTTTCCTGTTTAGTAAGCAGACTGTAAACCACAGTAGATTCATTTGGTCTTTGCTGTTTGCTGCTTAGAGCATGGCCACATTAATAATAAAAATTCTATTGAAGTTACTTATCGGCACCTTAAACAGCAATTTGCTTACCTATTTTTTGGCAAAGTTTTCCTCCTCCCATTTGAATTTGTTGGGTGCTGTATCATTGTTTTCCTGTTAGTTCTGCCACAATTGAACAAAGCTTACTGTTAGCAAGCAGTAGTAAGTGGAAAAGAAATGTGAATTTAAAATGAAATTATCAATTCTGGGAAAAATGTATGTAAATGATTCCCATCTACACCCCAAACATGATTTTCTTTCTTGTAGATATCAAAGTAACAAAGACCTGTTCTTTTGGCCCCCTCCTCCTGTTGCTCTTGAGTTTAACTTTGAAACCTAATTTACTCATTTAAAATAATATTGATCTAAAACAGAGGATTTCCGCTTTTACCTCTTAACTACTGGAAACATCAGTGTTAGCAGCAAAGGAAGATTATCTTGCCAAATAATATCCATAGATTGTCAAGATGGTCATGTTTTCTTGAACTCTTGGGCTTAGTCCCAAATTCATCTAAATTCATAGATTCTATAAACAGTATTGCCAAATAAAGATTTTTCCTTACATATATATATATATGCTCAAAAATTCTTAAAATAGAAGTTCTTAATATGTGAATGCATGCACATTTTGTAATTCTCAGCGTAAAAATACTAATGGCCGCAAATGCAAAGACAGAAATGCTAGAGAAGACATGATTTTATTTAGTATAAGAAATAATTTTGAGCATTGGCTATAATTGAATTCTGAACTTTTTGTATTTCTTAGTTTACCAGACAAGACCTTTAGAAGCTTTATCCCTAGCCACCAGAAGTATAAATGGTTAAATTTTGCTGCTGAGTTATCTCTGTAGAACATCAGAAATACAATCAGTTAACTGATTTCTATCAGCTATATCCTCTTTGTAATTTATGTATAATCTTTTTTTTTTCTTTTAAAAGAACCATTTCATTCTTTGCAAAATTCTTCCGCATTCCTTTTAATGAAGTGTGTATTGCAAATGCAAACCTCTACTGCATGTAAGCATCATGATTACAATGAACACAATTTTTGTGCAGCATTCCTCCCTGACTCTTCTGTGTGGTTAATTTTCTATTGCACCTGAAAAGTGACCTTCTGCAAGTTCTGCCTATCCTACAGTGGGGGAACTATTTTGATCTGCTTCATATGGCTTTGCCTGTATGTGGGATGCAGCACAGGCTGAATACATCTTTTGATGTCTACATCTGTAGTTCTTCAGAACTGCAGACATTTTAAAAGTAACTAATAGCATAAAGTACAGGATTTATCAGCTCACTATGGGTTCAGAATGTAGTAAAATACCTACCTTGCCTAAAAAGATTTCAAAAAGTCCTCCACCACTTATTGCTTTAAGGTATTTCTATGCAGTATCTTAAAGTTTCTATGTCTACAGTGCCAAAACATTTTGCCTGCATCGCATTTTCTTCTTTCTCTTGTCAACACCACTGTTGACACTGTCACAGGCGTGACATTTCTCCCTCCTTCTGCAAAAGGCAACGAGAAAGCTTCACCTCATGTAACTTAAGAGTCTATTAAACATTTCAGACTGATCAGATGCCAAACCTAAATTGTCTCTAACGGTGCAGTTTAGTGGCACAGAGAGAGCAGCAAATCCTATTTAGCTCAAGGTTCAGTTTATGGTTCAGTATATAGCAAGAAGATATACTGAGGAGAAAATGTAGGCTGGGCTTCCCATTACTTGATGTTTCACTAATATTTAATGGCAGACAAACTGTTACGGAGCATGTAAAGAAATCCAAGTAACATTTACATTAATGTAAATTGAATTCCTCTCAATGGATTCTGTTGCAATAAACTATGATTAATACATGATGAATTGATGTATAAATGTTTGTGTTTCCAAATTTCAGAATTTCCCGAAGTCATGAAACGCGTAGCTGTATTATGCCATCTGGAAGTTTATTTACTTCAGAGCATTTAAGGCGATTATTACTAGGTTAAATTTTACTTGCCAGGAGTGAAAAAATGGCTAAATCAATAAATGAATGGTAAAACGAAAAAAAAAAAAGAAAAAAAGAAAAAAAATGTCATTTTCTTCCTGCCTTTATTCTCTCTTGTCTTCTGTTTTAGTAGTGAAATAACAACAAAAGTAACTATCATGTTCAGGGTCTCTCCTCTGCCTGCATTACTCTACATGAAGCAGCTCAGTGTTGCCTGATATTTTGTTCCATAAATTATGTGTTCCAAACACTCCACCATGCTTCTGTGTTAAACCCTTCACGAGAGATTGTAAATGCCATCATTTGGCCCAAAGTATTCAAAAGCAATTCCTTATTGGTTAAACATTATTGTAGTTATCTGTTTTTGTAGTTACTTATTTTTGTAGCTATTTGCATATTTATTTGGTTTGGCAGAAATGTTTGAGAGCGCTTCTCATAAAATGGATCCTCATTGTGCTGGATGATTCACACTCAAAGTCAAAGAATGCATAAAATGAGAAAAGAGGTGGATACCGCCTACAAGTGGAGTACAAAATAAGCTGAAGGTAGAAAAAGTTGGGCTTAAAGGAAAGGAATAAAATATGGAGTAAAATGGTTTTAAATTAACGGAGAGGAGATTTAAGTTAGTAGTTGGGGGGAAGTTTTTCACTGAGAGGGTGGTAAAGCACTGGTGTAAGCTACTCAAAGAGGTTGTGGATGCCCCATCCCTGGAGGAGTTCAAGACTCGATTGGATGGGTCCCTGTGCAGCCTGATCTAGTGCCTGATAGAGTGGGTGGCAGCCCTGCCCACAGTAGGGTTTGGAACTGGATGATCTTAGAGGTCCCTTCCACCCCAAGTCCTTCTATGACACTATGATTCTACGGAGTCTGCAAGCCTGTGCTGACTGCAGACATCTGAAGGGGGTCAGTTTGAAAATCTAGGTACCTGTCAAACTTCATATCATTACTACTATATAAAGTAGTCAGTATTATTATTGTCTACATAATTAAAACAAAATTCCTAGTATTTATCATTCTGATTATCCCAATTCATGGCTTATTTTGCTAATAAGTGCTTACCAGGGTGGTAAATGAAGGATGCTTTAAATTAAAAAACTAGGTTTTTTTTCTGGCATGTGTCTAAATGCGCTGTGTGCGCTGCATGTGGCAGTGTGGTTAGATTTTGGGGACACTGCAATCATGAGGTCAGTCTGTTAAATGGCGCTTTAAAAGTGCATGGTACTGATAATTTCATTTTTCTGTAGCATCTTTCTCTACAGGCATAATTACCTAGAAGAATGGCTTGGAGTGGGAGGAGGCTTAGGTACTGGTTTTTGTGGCTCCAGTTAAGCAAAACTAAAGTCAGTAAGGCAGAAATAATGTTTAAATCTAGCAGCAGAGAGTACTGTCAGACTCACCGCCTCTTTTGGAAGTGATACAGGCTAGTAAGAAAGAGCATGAGTCTGGCTTGATTGGGCTAGCTCACTATTGAAGGGAGTTTTGAAGTTGCTTCAACACTAGGATTCATTGCCACCTTGGGCAACAAACACACCCTGCCTGGTCCCCTGTTACAGCTCAAGAAGAATCCCTGAAGAATGTGAGTCTAAAGTTTCCTTTTCCTGAACTCCATAACTACGTATAGGAGGACAGTGGGCTTCCCTGCACCATCCTTCCTAGGGGCAGCAGTGATCATTTGGGGACTAATGCCACTGGTGAGTGGGATGTGCATATGGGGATTGCACCTCTAAGCAGGGCTGTTCTGGATCTTTAACAGGCTGACATTGATCCTCTGTACCCCAAATTACCTCTGATTTTAAGTCCTTTTGAGATAGTTTGAGGCTAGCACAGAGGATGCTATGTATGCTTCTATGTATTTGATCTAATTTGCAGAGCTCCATACATGCTGGGATGGAGTTAATCATCGTAGCAGCCCATATGGGGCTGCATTTTGAATTTGTGGCTGAAACAGTGTTGATAACACATCACTGTTTTGGCTGTTGCTGAGCAGTGATTGCACAGCATCAAGCCTTGATTTTCATCCCAGTCTGTTCCTCACTGAGAAGTCTGGGAGTGAGAAGGAGCTTGGATGGGGTCAGCCAGGACAGTTGATCCCAACAGACCAAGGGGATATTGCATGCCATGTAACATTGCATTCAGCAATAAAAAATGAGGGAGGGTTTTTTTGGAAGATGGATGCTGTTTGGAGACCAGCTAGGCATTGGTCTACTCATGGGAGGCGGTGAGTGAAAGCCTTTGCATCACTTGTTTTTTAGGATGACAATTTTTAACACAGGCACATAAATATAAGCATCATCCAGGTCTGACGCAAAGGCCCAACTGCTTTTCTGAAATCTTTCCCAGACAGCGTCCAGAAAAAAAAACCTGTTCTTTTGCTTTTAATTTGTAAAGGTCAGCTTTTATGAATCAGTAATAAGATCATCCATGAAAGCATTGTATGCAGTGCTGTTACAACAGAAAAAAATGCATAAACGGATGCTGGTATGATTCATGTGTTGAAGCTGCTTCAGCTCTGGCTCTACAAGCGTGTCAAGTAGGAAGAGACTTTAGCTAAGGGAGTGTTAGGTGCATAATAGTAAATATTAAAGGTTAAATTCTCTTAGCATAATTATATGTCTGATCATTTGAAAAACTATTTAATTACAACTGGCATTATTCATCTGAATTATCTTCTTCAAAAAAAAAAGTGCAGTAGGTTTCCCTTAAAACCTTTAAACTGACATACATAGAAACACCCCAAGCAGTCTTCATAGTGTCAGTTCAAATAACCACGTAGAATCACAGATAAAGTTAAAATTATTTAATTACCCTATTGGTTAAATATGGATTTGGAAGTCCTGAATTGAAACATTTTCTTGGTGCCAAACTGCATTAGCTGTCATTTTGCTGACTGTTAATTGAGGCTTCACTTATAAAATATTAGAAGATATTAAAGCTGCCTTTATCAGGAAACAGATCCCTGGTGAAGGTGTCATGGCTCCTATCTCCGTAATACGGGATAGGACAGGTATTCAGGGTGCCAATTAAGATACACAGAACACACTTGTATTTGTGTTACAGATTTATATTCATCTGGTTTGGAGCTGTAATGAATCCTAGCCCAGTGACTTTGCAATGGTTGAAAGAAGTT